GAAGTCAGGCACCAGAAAAAGGAATGAAATGGAGCTACTGGGAAGGAAAAGGGATGAAAGAACTTTTGGAAAATCTCACCATGAAATTGGCTACAGCAGGCTGATAATATTCGGAGCATTTTGAAGCCATATTTGGACAAATTCTCTAATATCCACTGAAAAAGAAAAGGAGAACAGAAAAGCAAAGGAAGAAATTAAAGGCAAGCTTCCTGGTCTCCTCCATTCTAAATAAAGAAACCCTCCAATCTTTGGTTTTTGTGGCAAATCAAAATGAGGGAAAGAATTAATGAAATTCATGAAGAACTCAAGAACCCACCAGCAATATGAAGCTTAAAGGGACACAAGAACATGAAGGAAACCTTTTATAATCTACTCCAGTTGATTATTGTTAGACAATAATTGTTCGGCAGAAAGATCCAACCGCATCTCTTCTCATTCGTCACTCTTAACAACCACCATCAAGGTGAACATGATACTACAACCCTCCATAGTCTCCATCGATGCAACTAGAAGCTATCGGCTTTGGTCCACATCTCAGCTCCGGCACATTGGATAAAAGCTGCCTTGTTATCTGTATCTTACTGTTGCCGACGTTGGACAAAACGCCCACGTTTCCTCTTTTTAATGCTAAACGTGATAATCCTTGGAGAACCGTGTTTCGTCCTTTGCACCTCTAATTTGTCAGACTACAATTTTGATGAAGACAACGGTTAGCGGATATAAGGCCTGTTTGGTCCAAATTATTTTTTTCATTCTCATTTTTCTACTCATTTTCAACCACACATTTTTCAATAAAATAATATTTTTCATCACATCAATAAATTTTTCTTATTTTTTAACCACATATTCCACATCACATCAACAGTAAAAATGCATTCTTACTTTCAAAATGTGCACCAAACGGGAGCATAGTAAGAATTTTTGAAAATAATGTTGCAATGAAATGGAAATAAGCTAAGATTCCAATCCATTTTGAATTATAGATTTGGGAGGAGTTGGGCCAGAATCTTATGTAGGTTGAGCCCAATAATTTATTTTCCTTGGGCGATTCCTGTTATTAATAAATTCTTGGGGTAACTTATAAAAATACCCTTAAAATTAAGGGTCTTTTTAAAAATCATGTGAAAAGTATTTTGGAAGTAAAAAACACTGTGTAAAATTAAGTGTCACTTTTTAATGACACATTGTGTCACTTTTAAAAAAAGTGACATGTTACTTTTAATTAAAATGGTATATACAACTTTTATTAAAAATGATATTTGTCACACAAAAAAGTGATATAAATTTCAAGAAAGTGATAGGAAAAAGTGACATACATTAAAAAACAAATGACAAAAATTCAAAAGAAGTACCAAATATTAAAAAAAGTGACAAAAATTAAAAAAAGCGACAACCATTAAAAATAAGTGACAAACATTAAAAATAAGTAACAGAAATTTAGAAAAAGTGACTAACACTAATAAAAGTAACAAAAAATCAATTAAAACATTAGAATGAGTT